TCGCTGACCTCATTCGTATTGCCCTATCGCCGAACGGCCCGGCCCCGAGACAACCCAACCGAAAAGTGTCCGAAAAGCAGAAACAAGCTTCTCCGTAGTGAGACAAGTGCAATCTCATTGTCAGAGAAATGCCACGAACGCATTGCTGTATTCGCACATTCATGAGTCGTCAGAGGTTCGCGTCAACAGTGCTCTTTTTGGTACAATCGCTTGGTTCGCACACCTTCGCTCGCTATTAACATGTCGATCTGTTTGTTCACACGAGAATGATCATCTCGTGCGAAAATTTAAAGTTTCTCTGCTGAGCCAAAGACCTGAGCACGGATTGGTCGTCTCCTCAGGTAGACGCGCAAAGGTAGAGAGCACGTCATTAGAGTTATCGCCCCTCGCTTACTCTTCGATGCTTTCCTTTTACTATCCTAAATACGCGTTTCGGCACGTCCCGGTAGTCACGTGCACCATCCCAATTTTTTTTCATCCGACCGATCTTTTACAATGAGTTAACGTAACAATGTTCCTATCGCCCAGAGAACTTTCTGGAGATCAACAATTAGAACAAGAACGAAAGGTTCTCACGTACGCTGTTTTATGAACCCAACCCGAAGACAAAATTGCTTGACACAGTCAACTTGGCTCGGGCGCGAGCGAGTCAGAGGAGCACATATTATTTCCAATGTAGATATCTATTGTTGGGGCCGATCCGATAAGTCTATTTTCGAGCCGGAGTAACTGGGTTTCCGGAACGCCAACAATTTCCTCTTTACGCGTCGCACTGTCATGTGAAAATATTTGCTGGAATGCGCTATCTTTTCTTTTTCTCCTACAGTGCTAAATTAAACACTGCACCTGCATAGCTCATCATTTTTAAATAGTTTTGAAAAGGGCAACTGTTATATACAATTTAGACGCATTTAATGAGATATTGTTTGGAGTCAGTGTTAAATATAACAAAAAAATAATGTAATTAGATAGAGTATGCGATAAAAAAGGGCGATATTAAGGTTCGTGCGGTTTCTTACTTAATCATTTTAATAGACTCGATGCCGCTAAGTTATGAAATCACAAAACTTTATTTGAGTAGTTGAACGGCTAAAAAATCTGTCAAATTTATATAGACCGCTGCCTGTCAAAAATTGTGGATTCGAAAAAAATTTTATTTTTTCGAACTTACCCAAACATTGAAAAAAAACTTAATTGCAACCTTGTTTTATATTTTTTTCAAATTTATTTATATACATTTATATGTACCAACCCTCCAAATAAGGTATTTATGACATTTGAGGACTTGATAGTTGCAATAGTGTCTGTGATGTAGTTTTGAACAAGTAAATAAAACAAATTGTAATTAGCGTGACGTTGATCTCGAGCATCATAATAAAAAATAAAATGATGAAGAAAACGAAGCTTAGTTATCAAAGCATAGAGAGTAAGCGAGGTGAAGCCTTGCTGTAACGAAAAACCAGGCCGCACACGGTAACATAGCTGGCTCGCGAGGCGCAAGATAGAAATTACACAAAGCCGTGTCTTGCTACTCATGGCGAGAAGGGGGTCGCGTCGTAGAAAATCAGTGAAGGTGTGCTGTTAGTTGGCCGCAGTAGCAGGAAAGGGAGAGATGGGGGAGAGGTGGGGAAGCGTTGAAAAAAGCGCTGCCGCCCTCGCTGCCGCCGAGGGCTAAAGGGCCTGAGTTGGCAATAGTGAAGAGGCACTCGCGCGGCCTCATTGTCTCTCGAGAGCGGAGAGCTCTGCTGCTGCTGCTGCTGCTGCTGCTGCTGCGCTGCTGCTGCGCTGCTGCTGCCGCTGCTGCCGCCGCTGCTGCTGCTGCCGCTGCTGCCGCCGCTGCTGCTGCCGCCGCTGCTGCTGCCGCCGCTGCTGCTGCTGCTGCTGTTGCCGCTGCTGCTGCCGCTGCTGCTGCCGCTGCTGCTGTGCTGCTGCTACTGCTGCTGCTGCCTTACTCTGGCACGGCCGATTTCGACGCGCCACCCCCTCCATCACAAGACACAGTCTACTGCAGTACGCGAGCTTTAATAAGCTTATGCAGCACACTCGGCCTCTTTGTCTTTCTCGCTCTCTCTCACTCTCTTACCTTTTCTTTTTCCTCTTTTATTGCGCATGGGAGTAAGCAACCGAGCGGCTAGACTCGATACTCACACACGCGCTCTCTAACATATAGCCGCATCTTTTTCCCCTCTCTCTCTCCCTCTCTCTCTCTGTCTGTCTTGCGCCTACTTGAGACTCTTATCAAGTACCGAATCCACGCCGCTCTAAAGTTTCCAGCTTCAAAGCTTTACTTCCTTGGCCGCCTGCATACCCCTTTCTCTTCTTATTCTTTTACAAGACTCCTAATTTTTGAGACTTTAGCTATCTTTCGTGTATTCATTGGCTTTGCAATTGTTTTGCTTCTTGTTTTTAGTGTTACGTGAGTGGACTTCGTTTTATAGAGACGCAAATTATTAGTTTATTAAATACTCGCTTAAAATTCATAATTAACCTAGATTTTATAAAGACGATGAAGAACTAAAAAAATACATAAACTGACAACTATAGATGTACGAAAAACGTATGCCCACAATAAAGAGACACACCCGTTCGCGAAATGAGAGTAAGTCGCATCGAGAGTATCAGAAAAGCGTTGAAACCTAGGCCAAAGTCTGCAATACACTTGATTGGTGCTCTGCGCACACCTGAATTCGTTGCACGAGCCCGCAGTGTTAGTCAGCTTTTTGGCATAGGCGGCCGCGCGTGATCTGCTGTACGTTGCGAGACAATGCCGAGTAAATTCTATGACGGAGAACATTGTCGAACGCTAACGGAGAAGGGCGTCTTCTTTGCGATCCCTCTGCTATTGCTGCTGGCTAGACACTTCCTTTCAGACGAGGCTCTTTTTTTATAGCCTGCGGCCCATGAAATACGCGTGTATGCGAGAGCAAAACATCAAGTGCCGATTAGGCGAAGAGATAGCGAAGGAAGAAAACGTTGGGAATAGAGTTTCATTGTGATTGTTTCTTTTTGAGAAGTGATTGTTGGGCTGATTTGTTTTTCAAAATAGTAACTTTCAGACTTGAACGCTGTTATTTATTTAAAGTCGCATAATGAAATATTGCTAATTATTAACATTCAACTTTGCAAAATTCGCGATCATAACTGGCAGCGCATAAATATATTTAATTCTTAAATTCATTTAAAAATTGACGATGATTTCAACAACAACAAAATTACCACGACACATCAAACATTTTTTGATAATCATAATTTAAAAGAATTTTTCTCCGATTGTATAAAATACAAAATGTTTAAGCTAGTAACAGAATAACAAGTCACAGATTATATGGAGTAATAACGATTTTAGGAACTACTTGTAAAAGTTTCGACGTATCATCAACTCCACTCAGTACTACAGCCGTGTAGCTCAAGTAACACTTCAAAATTACCTTATTCTTTCGATTCTTAGTGGCTTTGATAGCTCCAATTAAAAACTCATTTGTCAAACTCTTACAGCAATTGAGATACAAATGTTCCAGTTTTTCACACGTCTCTATTAGTCGTATGAGCCCAGCATCCTTCAAGTTGGAACAGTTACTACAATCCAAGTGCTTGAGATTCGGCATACAATGGAAAACTTGATCGGTGACATTGTTACACTCTTCAAAGGATAAGCACACAAGATTTGGCAATGACATAATACTCGAAACACCAACATCGGTAACTGCGCCACAATCTAAAAAAATATTGTTAAGTTATTGTTAAGTTTTAGAATCATATCAAATAACTCATGGTTTTAATAATGAATGACTCACAGCTGATGTCGACTTTGCGTAATTGTTTGCAATGAGCTCCAATCGCAACGAGCAACTCGTCGTCAACAGATCCGTTTGATAGAAGATCAAGGATTTCAAGATTGATAAGCTTTGTTAAATTATTTAAAGGTTTTGTGTAGAATGGGCATAAGGCTAGAGTTAAGTGTTTCAAGCTTTCTGAGCATTCGCAGATGTTTTCAATGGCTCTGTCGTTTGAATCGTGAAAATGCTCAACAACAATTTCTTTCAAATTTTTACACTCCTTAACCACCTGCAAAAAGAATTAAAAGAATCACTGTTAATTAAAAAAAAGTGAGTGTGTGAAAGAAATCACCTACACTAAAATATTTGAGAGATATGTAAGGACAATTATCAAAGCAAATTGTTTCAATTGATTCTGTATTCAGCTGGGACAAACATTTTCCAGTAACAGTTAAATTACTGTGAATATAGATTTCTTTTAATCCTTTATTTTCCTTGAAAAGATTTCCGAGTTCATCATCACATTCATCTGAGCAGTTACCAATGTAAAATACAATGATTTTGTGACAATTTTCAGACAATGCTCTGATACTCCATGATGAAACTTCCAATTCAGTGGCAAAGATATTTTCAACATTTGCACAAAATTTAGCTATTAACTTCATAATATGAGGACCCAATCTATTATTGAGCTCGGGAAATTCGATGTTTTTGATATACTGACCACACCGTTTTAACACTTTTTTTAGAATGCGACTGTTTACTTTAAGAACGGCATTTTTATTACTGAATCCCCAGCACTCATTTTCAAAATTCAAGTCTTTGAAATCACGCCACGACTCTTGCATCAGAAGTTGCCAACGTTTGCAAACTATCAATTGCCAGTAATAAATAATTAATATATTTACTTTTATAAACATAAATATGAAAGTTTTAATGTGTGATACCTCTTTCTGATCTAACTCTGTCTACGATTGGCAATAATTGAAAAATATGCAGCAAACAGTCATTGTTTAATACATCAACTGAAGAGACACGCAGATAATAATCTACTGGATTATAAATAAAAGCATACTCTGCTGATTTTCTACTCATTGTAAATCTGAAAAGTAAACAAAAAACATAATTTTAATTTTAATAAGTTAAGGCTAACGCGCAATAATTTTTAAATGGAACAATAGAATTAGTAATAGTATTTTTAATAGTAATTATATCAATTATCAATCATTTTTATTATATAATTACACAAAGTGATTAAAATTTATGAATGAAGTACGAGGTTAAAATGATAGTTACAATTTTTTCACAAATGAAATATAAAATTTATAGAATATATTACAAGAATGAACTTATAAGTTATAAGTAATTTTTGGCCTTAATGTCCCTTTTCAAGCGAAGGAGTCTTAGCAGTGGCGACGTTTCAGTTATTTCGTCAAATTTAATTTTGGTTCCCCAAATATACATATACAGAATAACGTTATTCATTCTCAACTTAGTCACATCAACAGCTTTTTTCACAGTTGAATTGGTAACATTACAGCAACCAACGTTAAGTAACTCGAGATTTTTTGAAGTATCTAAAAGCATACTGAAACATTTATCCGACAATTCTTGACACATAAAACATTCAAATTGTTTCAAATTTGGCATAGGATGCACAGCTTCATCGTGAATCTTCAGGTGATTAATATTTAGGCGCTGAAGGTATGGCAGTGATGTTAAACAATGAACACCCTCATCGGTTACTCTGCTCTCTGCAAAAGAAAAGATAGCGAAATACGCTGTATTTATAAAATTAACTATTACTTTATATAAAGAAAGAATTAAATTATTGAATATTTACCACTGATATTGACATCTGACAACAGACGACAATTCTTACACAGAGCAAGGATAAGTTCGTTGTTGACGAGATCACTTGATGATAGTTCTATGCTTATTAGATTATTCAACCTCGTCATATATTTGCATGATCTTATTTTTCCTGGAAAAATACCCATGTGAATCTCTTTCAAATTTGTCAAATTGCAAATAGCTTCCATCGAGTCATCATCAAAATTTTCACAGTAATCAAATGATAGTTCGGATAAATTTTTTAATTTTCTAATCCCCTACAAATATATAAATTGGTTGAAAAAACTACATCAACATAACAACATTATAGCACATATTAACTTACTTGATTAACGTAAAATGAAGAAAAATCACAGTTAAATATACTGAGTGTTTTCAATGATTCAAAAGGTAAATTAAGGAAAAATTTTCCGTTCGATATACCACATATAGAATAAAATGTCATCTTCGTCAGGTTCTTATTTTTTTCAAATAGAAACGATAGTTCATTGTCGAATGTTTCAAAAATATCCCTCAATCCTAATTCTTTGATATTAGTACAATATTCAGATAAGTTTTGTATACTAAGACTTGAGACTCCACACAAATAAATAGTTTCAAGATTTGGGCACATCGATCCAATCTTATTTCCTAACGTTACCAATTCGTCAAGGTAGCCGAAGAATTCAAGATATTTCAGATAAAATCCGCATCTTGTTAGCACATTGTAAATGGCTTTCGCATCCATGACTAAATTTCCATTTCCCTTTTTGAGTCCCCATGAAACCTTGTCTGGGCTCAGTATCCGACACTGACGCCACGATTCCATACTGATTGTTTGCCAACGTTTGCATACTTAAATGTGAAATTTACATAATTATAAGTTCGTTCAATTTCGTAAATATTATTCAAATGCGATATTAACCTCTCTCAATTTTCACTCTGTCTGCAATGGAAAGGAACTCGAAAATATGAATTAAACAATCATCGTCTAATGAGTCGATTGTAGCTTTTGAATGCAGAGCACTGTAAGACGATGGTGACTTTCTCAATTTAAGTTTGAATCGACAGTCTACCATTTTTATTGAAAGTTGTTGATAGAAAACTTCTTGATTCGGTTTCTGTTTTTTATAACATTATGACAAAATTTTTCCACCCTAAAAAAATTGTTTCTATTAACGTTAATATGTATCGAATCAACTCATGTATAATACAAATGTTTAGTTATACCATTAAAAATACCAAATATATACAAAACACAAAGAAAATTTGGTGACTTCGATGAATATTTGTGCAGAGGTTATCTATGGCAGACTTCAGCAAATGGCAAATTTAGGGATAAGCGATATCCTTTCCGAATCTTAAATTCTTTGGAGTATGTCTGTAATCATAATACAATTAAATTGTTGTCACTTGAATTGAAGCTGTGTTTCCTTAAAGCGCGAAATGAATTGCGATTTTTTTTTCATAGAATTTAGTAAACTAAATAACGGAATTTAACAAATGTTTGAAGCAGCAATCGATGTAGTTTTATAGCAAAAAATCGTTCTTTCAAACAAAACAATTGACATTTATCTCATGAGTGTGTATAAGAAGTCGTTTTATTTACACACTCCTGTAATATCTTCACAGAAAATCTTTCTAGTCCAACTGTTAAATAATAGTTTTTAGTACGTAGGGTTTAAGTCACTGTAGCTTGTATGCAAGAGACAATTTTTTTTGTGGAGTCGAGAGTTATAGAACGATATACAAAGCGTATCAAGCTTACATTTGAAAGTCTCCTTCATCTCTCTGAGCGAGTGCGCGGGTTGAGCCTAACGACAGATAGCGGGCTCGGTGATACTTTGAATGTTGTCAGGCAAAGTCTTACAATAACGCAATACGATCTTAAAGCAAACAGTAGTATATTAGTAGTAAACTACTATGCAATGGAACTTTTGCAGCTGTTCCTCTTTTTATCCTCTCAGAGCCAGTAAAGAAGAAAGTCATGCAAAAAAATTTTGACTGGCATTATGCGCAGGGTTATATATGAAAATTATTGTATTTTATACAATGTTCACTCGACGTGGGTTGATTATCGTGGAATCTTTTAAAAAATTGGTGTGGCGTCGAATTCTGACTAGGTGCAAAAATTTGACATCGGGGAAGAAATGTCGAAATTATTCGCACACATGATTTTTTTTAGCAAAAACTTTTACGACACTTGAGATACAAATCTCAGAAATAAATTAACGTGTCACATTATAATAAAAGTATAAAATATTGAAAATTTTACATTCTCAAAAAAGAGATTTAAATTTGGAACATATTTCAGAAGATTCCGAATACTTATGACTATTATTAATTATTGGTTACTTGTCTAGAAAATTTCTTCTTTGCCGACAAAATCGACATTGCAGATGGGCATAAAGAATGCAAGTCGAGAAAAACCCCCGATGTCAAATTTTTGTACCATTTCTGTACCTGGCTGAAATTCAACGCCATGTCAATTTTTTTAAAGATTTCACGACATCCAATCCACGCTAAGTGTACAGGATGAGACAACATTTCTACATAACATTAGAATAATCTATAATTTTTTCAAGATATTATACATAAAATCTCGAAATACTACGTACCATTTGGGGTATTATCCAATTTGCAACATTTTATACCCAAAACAACTGTTTGGCTCTACCCTTTGTTGCTATAGCAACAGCATACACGCTTTATATGATATTTTGTCGAATTCTTCAGAACTCGAAATTATATGTAATATTTTAAGGGAGCATCTTAGCTCTGTTATATTGACTTTTTTACCGAACCCTATTTTCTCCTAAATAAAACACCTAATAAAGAGCACTTATAGTTAACGGCGTACTTTATTGTTAGCAAATGCAGCAAGAGTAGGGACGACTCATAAAAGAAATGTATTTTTTTTTCTATACCGAAAGTCAGATCAATAATATTGTCCGTTAAAAATAAATAGTAGCCATGCCTGGTTTTTAAAGAAAGTAAGCACTTTTAATAAACACTCCAATGATAAACTATGCGACTAAAATACATAAAATAACAATCAGTGTACTTGCACTTTTGATCATCTACGGTGTAAATTTGTTTTGAGAGTTGAAAATAATCTGTACTCATTGACAAAACAATTTTGATTTGCACAGTTAAAGTGATACTCAATGTAATCAATTATTTATATAATAATAATAATATGATTTCAATACTTGACTGTCTGCTTTTAAAAATGAGTTGAGGTAGACACTATATGTCATACGTAATTCAATTTTACATGTTTTTCGTGATTAAAAACTGCTACAAAATAGTCTGTTTTGACACTCTCTGTGCGAAACGAGATTGGAACCAAGCGTGTTTTTTTAAGTCTGCGTAAATCAAGTTCTCGCACACGGAGTCTCAAAAAAATAGGCTGGCTCTTCTGGTAGCGATGGTTTTAGGTGTACAAAGATGGAGCTTCTTCGGTAAGGTCCATCCATTCCAACACGCTTCACTCTACTTAATGGCAAATTCGCTCCAACCAGGATATGTGAAGATGAGCGTGCTCTTTTTGCATAAATACGTGAAAGGAGTAAGATATACTTATGATTTCCGCAGGTGTATAAAGGACAGCTATCTCGAGTTTCGACATCAGTTAAGCGAGGTTGTCACAATGGCCAGCTCTGACGATCTTATCAGCAAAAATATAAAAAACCAAGCCAACCATCAAACGCCAAAGGGATCTCCGAAGGATGATTTTAGAAAAAAGCCTTATTTTTAACATCCGCCACAGGTTACGGAATAAAAAGATCGAAGATGTAGATGTTGCTGGACCAAATAAATAATCGTCAAGGTCGGATTTTGGTTTTGGCGCACTTTTAAATTATTATAATTGGCCCTTTTCAGTGTCATCAAACAATCTAACGAGAAACTACTATGGTTCGTTTGTTATTCTCAACCTGAAAGAAAAGCGTTCATATCTGCAAGATAAATAATAAATTCATATAAATGAAGAATGAACCTAATACACCGACATTATACGGAGAGTGAAAAATCATATACGCCAGATAGAAGCACGGAGGAACAAACTTTACTATATCCGCCACAAAAATAACCTACATTCCTCTCAAGTAGCGTAACATACTGTTTTTGCTCTTTTTTTATCATTGTTCTAACTGTAATTTGTCGTTTGTAATAAAATTTCTGTAAGTGAATAATTATTATTCCAATATCTGAAAAAAGTCTTTAAATTGTTAATTATTGATCTGACTTTTGTTGAAAATATAACTTTTTACGCGGCTACCGTCTTCCCTGCATTTACTAATTATATAACTTACGTGGCTAACTATAAATGCTCTTCGTTGCATATTTTAAGAGAAAATCAGGACCGAAGAAAGTCGATTACACGAGGTAGGGCATTCTCTTAAGATTACTTATAAACTATTATGTAAAATTATACATAATAATAATATGCAATATTATTTTTAGTAGAGTACATAATTTTATATAGAATAAGTTTTATACGTATAACTTTACGAATTATGTACGTCTTCCTCTAAATTAATCCGCAAAAGACAATTTTCGAATACAAATATTGTTATTGTAATTATGCTTCATCGAGGATTAAATGTAATAATGAAATGCTTGGAAGATTTCTTTCTACGATGATTCTTTCGATCAATTACTTTGTCTTTAGAACACAAACGGATATACTGCTATCAAGTGTCGACTGTATTCGAGGCGTATGCTAGAAAAACTGTAGGTTCATGTTGACGTTCAAAAAGCCATAAACTGCCATGTGTTAAGCGTGACTGTGAGTCTGCGAGCAATAATGAAAAGAACTCGGAAAGGAAAATAAGACATTCGAAAACTTTGTAAATTAAGAAAATCTGTATCTAAAATTGTACGTTAATCGGACGGTGTCGACATTTGATATATTTCGCATTCTAATGAAGATTTATCTGATAAATAAAACGTAGTAACGTGAAAACTTAAAAATAAATGTGAAATAATTGTAAGAGTAACTAATTCTAATAATAAATTATAAAATATTGAGGATATGATTAAATAAGTAACGTACAAACTCTATGAATATAATGCAGCGTAGACAAGGCTTGTGAGTGAATAATAACTATAAAATGATAAAGCTGCCAGGTGTCAACGCATATAGAACAAAATAAAAGAAAACTTTTAGAGAAACACAAAATATTAACTTCCTCTTCAAGCAAATAAATGCGGACTATTTGTTGGATGAATGTATTTTAAATTCATTATTGATTAATAAACATAGTTAAATATTTAGTTATACTTAACTTTAATTTGCAAAAATGTTGGTACCGAAGCAACATTAAAGTGGGTTCGTCTCCCGTGTAAATATTTCAATTTGGACATTAATTAAAATTTTTACGAACGAGAGTAGAAATCTAAATGTAATCTAACATATGCATCATATAAACCGTAATTAGTTTCATCACCATACCACCAGATGATGTGGTTCATAGATTGGGGCTGCTGTACGCAGCCTTGACCTGCGAACCAGAATTACCGAACTACAGCAAAAAGTTCAAGAATAAAGGAAATCTCCTAACAAACGCAAAACATGCAATCTCGCAAATATCTTTTGTTTAACCAGTCAGACAAAAAATCAGAATCAAGGTATTTGAGGTTATGATTAAAAAGAAATATTATATTTCACGGAAAGTTTCCTCATTCAATCAACAAATTAATTTTTTTTTCAGGATACAACTGTTTTTTAGTTAGGAACTAAATTTATCACACCTGCGGTTTAGCCAATTAAAACATTACGAAAACTTTCCGGTATTCTATAATAATAATAATAGACTTGACTTTAGTTAGTCAAATCAATGAAGCTACTGTGGTCATTGTAGCAAGAAGTTTGCCAACGGTCCGAAAAGGAAGCATCAAGCCAGAGCTAGCAAACGTCTCGTGGATTTACAGAAATGTTTTAAACCAAATTCTTCGTTCGTATATCCACGAGGTATTACGAAACCGAAAACTAGAAGCTTCAAATACTTCTAGAATTAAAAAATCAACATCAAGGTCGTGCAGTTTCGGTGGTAAATTTATTAAATATCCATCTTATACCAATGGGCCCTTATCAGGGCGACCAATTATGTAAACGCTGAACTAACTATGATTAGCTCCCTATTTTCAATCAACCTGAAAAAAAGCGTTCATAATACTTACTTGATAAACAGTCAATTCACGTAGATATAAAGAATGCATTGACACACCAATGTTGTTCGGTGAGCGAAAACAAAAAGAAATCCGGTTCAAGAAGATCGCCTCATAGGCTATGATAGATTCATTGCTGCGAATCCATTTTTGGCGCGGGGCTCGGCTTTTCGGTCTCATTAATTTCAAAGTGCGATAAAAGCCGTCAAATAAGTTGCCCATGCAATAATTAATGCCTCAACGGAATTGCTCTCTTGTTTATACTTCTGTTGATTTTAAACCAAACGATGCCGCTATACGCTGGCAGTAGCAGCCATCGACATTATTTGGCGCAATTATCGTGAAAAAAATTTGGCAACCAAGAAAAGAACAATAAGAGAACAATAGCCGAGACAGCTTATTTATATACTTGAATATTTGACGGCTTAGTTTCGAAGATCAAAATACTACGACAGTGATTTTGACATTGGTGGTAAGGCGATAAGGCAAAACCCATTCGGCCTCTTAAAAGTGCCGCGGCGAGCTTTTTCGAAAGTGCGAAAAAATAAAACAAAACACACGTACACGTGGCAGAGAAAGAAAAAGAGCGTAAGCGTGATCGCAAAATTAGCCGCGTGCGGCATGACTTCTTTTCTTTCTCTATTACGCATTTCCGGCTCGCTGGACCGGAAACGACCTGATAAGATGACTCTCTCGCTCTCACAGCGCGTAGCGCCAGGAGGGTGCGAGAAAGCTGCCTTATCTGCAAAATATTACGAGCAACGCCACACCACCTCGCCCTTGCGCACGCGTAAATCTACTCTGTCGCGCATCTTTTTTTGTTCATTATTTAATTTGACAACGTAGTTTCAAGGCTCGAAATAAAATTTCAGCTGGTACGTTAAACCGTCAATTAATATTCTAATGAAGACAATTTTCTAATAGCAATAGCTGTTCGAATCGAGTTACTTTCTGCTCGACAGCATTTAAATCAGTTTATTTATAGGTAATTGATGGAGTTTTACTAAGACGATTGAAAAGCTTTAAGATTAATAGATGTATTTTTCAGTTCGCATCAGGCAATGCTCTGTGTAAACTGGTTTTAGAGACGTTTACAAGTTGCCGAAAAATCGTGAAGAATTTGAAAGTTTGAGACTAACAATCCATCGATTATGTGCGTGTTACAATCGTAATGATTGTCAATAATACAAGAGCGTCCACCGCCAGGCTACTAATGATCGTTCTGAGGTCAATGCGTGCATTGGGTTATTTTGACTAATACAGCTTTCTAGTATCAATCCATATTGACAATTCGTCTGTTTATTTGCGCACACACAACCGATGCTCCCTATAATTTAGCTCAGGAATAAGAGTGAAAGGGTCGGAGTTTATCGAAAAGCGGTAGATAATTCGCGTGGAGATTGTCGAATGCAACACACAGCGCAGCATCGCATGGTGACAAATACCGTAACGTAACGTAAAAAATTGGTGGATGGTCGTCAATTCTCAGCGACGTTAATACGCGATCACACAACTCGGCCGGAGGCAGAATCGCAAGGCAGCAGCAGCAGCAGCAGCAGCAGCAGCAGCAGCAGCAGCTTTTCGCTGACAAGTCTCTCAATTGGTCGAGCGCGCGAGCGTTTTACATACGCCGTGCTTTTAAACTAGTGTGTGATACAAACGCAACGACGAGGACGACGACGGCGACGCGGTTTAGCCATAGGGTTGAAATTTATAGGCGCGACTGTCTGTGTGCGTGTGCAACGAGGGAGTTGAAGCTCGTGGAGCGTGGATGGATGATCGCAGAGTTTCGCGGATACACTCGACAGCAGCCACTTATCCGCTGTCAAGTGAGAACTTCGTCAGCTATTTCTCTCTTCTCCCTCTCCGCGTGAGATGCGGCGGAGTCGAGGGAGGGATGCAATAAAACGCACGTTTTGCTGCCTGTATGCCACCCGCCAAATCCTGCTTTCCCGCAACGATAAGAATTATTGAATTATTCATGTTGCCGCCACGTCGGCAATACTTATTGCCGAGCGATACACACTGTGAACGTGAGAGAATATGCGCGGCGATTTCCTTGCGCATGAGACGCCGCTCAGATCACTAGCTATGTATTTTTGCTTGGTTGGGTGTCTAATCGATTGCACCGACACTTCTTTTATTCGCGCCGTTATATGTTACTTTTGGACGGGAGCCGATTCGCACGATTCGCACGATTCGCACGATGCGCACTATCACTGGAAAGATTTCTTGGGATTTTCCGTAAGCCACCAATTCATTTGCAAACTTTAATATCAGTTGAAAGGCTCTGCGTGCAAATGAACATTTTGATATTTGAAGCTGACAAAAAGGTAAACACATGCCTCGGTGAAAAAGGAATATTAATAAACCCAGGGCAAGTAGCTTGCTGGGATTTTTGAGCGCGCAGCACAGCGAAATAAGCCAAACGCGTCGTCGACGAGGTTTAGTAATTAATGCTCGCACCCAAGCGAGCGAGAGAGCGAGTTGCAAAAGTGGAAGATAATTGCGAAAATTTACGCAAGCGAAATATAGCGTTTAATTTGAAGCTGTATAAGAGCAGGTTTTTGCGCGTGCAGTTGCGGTCGTGTGCCACTGCTGCATCGTGCATAGCCGAGCGGCAAGTGCAAGCCGCAGTGGCTAGATGGTGCCACTGGTGCAGCTTCACTACTCGCTCATTCTCTGGATGTAGTTATTCTCTGGCAGCTCGACTGCTTAACTTTGCGTCGTTGTATTTACAATGGACTTGCCGGGGAATGTCGTGTGTCGTTGACGCGCGAGCGTTGATTAATTAATCCCTGCAAGCGATGGAAACAGCTGCGCGGACTTTATGACATGCAAACTGATGAAAATTTAATTCCGATAAAAGATGCGAACGAGCTCATTAGAAAAGCTTGTGCCTCGGCTGCGGTTTATCGCTCAAGAGCTTCGTCGTAGTCGCTGGTCCGGCAGGTCGGCCGAGCGAGCGGCATTAATTAATAAAAGCATAAAGAGCATCCGCCGTCGTGCCCGCGCGTCCACGGTGCATCTCTCGAGTCTCTCCTTTTCCACTGCGGGCAAAGTTGGTGCGTACACGGAGAGAGCGAGAGAGAGAGAGAGAGAGAACTGCACACTAAGTACCCAAGTACTAAGGGATTTGCCTCGGCTGTCGCTCGCGGGCTCCTCTCAAAGATATCTTGCGCGCACTGCGCCAACTCGCGTCAGGATCGCGCCTTTCGCATTCTTCTTTCTCGTTTTCTCTTTCGAGGGCCAAGCAAACATTTTACACGCTCGGACATTAAAATCATGCTGACAGCGATTGTTTATATGTGCGCCGACTTGGTAATTATATTTGGTGCTGAGAGCGAAAGCTAAATTTCTACGTGTGTTTACCTTTCGAAAGAGAGAGTGTGCGCGTGTGAGAAAGAGAGATAAGTTCACTCGCACTCCCGTGCGTTAATGAATACAAGTTTCGTTTGTTAGGCGCACTTTAGAAGCAACAATTTCAGGAGGAACAAATCAGAGTAATAAATAAAACATTTACCTTTTCGAGCATGTGACCGCAACAACTCGGAACAGTCCTATGTAATGACGTGAAAACACAGAATAAACGAGTCGATAGAATCGCAAGAAAGGTTTATGTATAGACACGTAGCCAACAATCGCGCTTTCGGAGTAATACTGAGACTTTCGAGCGACGAGTGTCATTTACGTGAGTGAACGAAGATTATTTGCGATTGGCTCATTCGACTGATCCTTCTTCAACTTTTCAAATGTGTGTGTGTGTGTGTATACGAAGCCAGCTGATGGATTTAAGTCAGTCGCATTTCGTATCCCGCTAGTGTACGAAACTGCGGAAAGTAGCTCACTACGGCAATTCCAAAAAATCTTTCAGCAACGCGTAATCGCGGCCATTCGATTCATTGTAAAAAGAAGCGGACGCACGTAATATGAAATTTATCGTGCTATATCGTGCTGAATAAATTACCAAAGCGAGGCGCGCGCGTAAACGCGAGGCGATGAAATTACGAGTATAGGAAAAGCGTATACGCGGAGCTGCACGTGCACATAAATAACTCGCGCGTCCGAGGACAAAAAAAATATAGCATCTGCGAAAAATTTTCGTTACTTTTTACGCGAAGCCATTATATTTGTCGTGGGCGCTATGGCCAAGCTCATCCTTTTATCGTCGCGCTAACCTTTGACGTATACGTGGCTGTATGGATTTTAATACAGTGCTATTGGCCAGCTGGAGGAGCTTCAGAAATGTCTCCACGAATTATTCGTTTGGTTGAAATCTACATTTCCCTCGTAGCTTTCATTAGCGAGCCTATGTGTGCAATGTGTATGCAGGTAGCACGCTTGAAAATAATAGCTGGCACAGTACGCGAAATTAACTCGGGTGTAGTTGAACGGGCAGCATTATAAGCTGAAACCATGGCGAATCCGTCAGGCGGCCGGCCACCGCGCCGGGGGCATGACAGTGTACAGTGTGGCGCGGCAGCAGCAGCAGCAGCAGTAGCAGCAGCATCGGCGTAAACGCCAGGGCGTCGCCTAATTTCAACGTCAAACTTAATCCCGCTAGCCACTGCACTAATGACGGATCGGCGCTGGTGGCGCGCGCGCGAGCGCAAATCACCAAACTCGACCGCTTGGCCGTTTCTCTTTGTGACGGCTACGCTGCCTAGCTAACATTCGTATTCTAGTTCTCTCAATCAGACGTCCGTAGGCGCGCGCGCGCTTCGACAAAATCCATGGGTAACTGCTCAATTAACTAATTGGCCTGTGTCTACCGACGGCAGCGCAACCTAACTATGCTGCTGTTGCCTCTGCGCAGTTTCAACTTCGTCACCCAAGCCAATTTTCCTCTCTCTCTCTCTCTCTCTCTCTCGCTCTGTCGCGCGAGCGAACGAGGCTTTTTCCTTGGATGCCAATGAACGATCGTTGCTGCCGCTCGTTCTCGAGATCTTCATTCTGTTGCTATGTTTGCAAATTGCCGATTGAGTAATGGCGCACACATGGACGGCCACGAAAAAACTTGATTGTTTCTCTGATCAGTTAAAATGCTTCATTCAAGCGTTCGTTGTAATGAATTGTTTCATTTTTATTAGATATCAATATCTAAACGCATGTTTACATATTTACATTGTAATGTTGTACAAGCTTCAAAAGTAGATTCATTATTTTTATTCCCCATTTACTGTTCAGCCCGATTGCAGACATTTAAAGAGCCAATCTTTTAATTATTTATTCTATCTTATAAAAGTCAAGATCATGGAAGCTGGAGTATAATTTTTCAGTGGTAAGCGTTTCGTGCGCTTTCCTAAAATTTTTTAAATAGTTCTTCGCAAATGTTATTTTCTTGGATAAAATAAGTCACGGCTCATTTTCGTTTCAAATAGGTTTTTAAATAAGACTGACTCCATTAAAGGAAATGAGCCTTCGAACAACTATTATGGTCAAATCCAAAACTTTTTAAATTTAGGATTGAAAAACAGCTGGATATGATTATAAATTAAGTTTGAAAAAACCGAAAAATAAATTAGCAAAGACAAAATTTCAGAATCCGACGTGAGGTAATAAAAACAAGGCCCTTAAAATTTGCTTATTCGAAAAATGTTATATACGATGTATTATGTAAAAAGGAATTAATCAGTGTTTTTCTTCGGTACTTATTCGTGGGTTAATAGATTTCGTATTCTTAAATAATACTTGCATTCATTAAAATACATTGTGGAGTTAAATATACGTTGAACGAATAACGTGTGGATGTTTAAAGAACACGAGAGCATCGGTGTCCTAATTTTCAACACGCACACGGTACAGAATGTGGAAAAAATTGAAAATTGGAAAGGCTGTTATAAATACAGGTTGAGCGGTACTACTTGGATTTTTATTCGTCGATACGCTCGCACTATTATAATAAGTCAAAACCAGTCAATTAGCGCGCTTGCAACGTCGTCCTAAGCAAACAACGGCGCGGGTGTTTGAACGTCGGGACTCCTCCTGAGGCAATGCAGCAGCCGAAAAATAAAGTGACGGAGACGCGCACACGAACGGAGTACAAAGAGTGAAAGAGACGCGAACGAAGATAAAGGCAGCGCGAAAGAAATCTCTTCTGCGCTGTGTATACGTTGCAACAGAGGGTCTCGTAGAGGTGCGCGTAGAGAAAGAATGAAGTCGCACGATGAGAGAAACGAGGATGCGCGGAAAAGAGACTGCGACGCACGTAATGAGACGTATACGCGGGAATGAAGTAGCGTGAAAAAAAGTTGAAGTGAGAAAACAGTACAACATCAGAGTCGAGTATGTGGAGCTGACAAGCTTAGGGGAGAGGCCATTGTAAGATTAAAATTTTCGCGACAGAAATGCCATAAAAAATGTTTTGGAACGAAAAAAATACGTTTATTCAACAAGGAGAAACGGGAACGAAGAAGAAAAGTGAGGCAAAGAAACAGAGTTGAGGCGCGAAGTCGGAAGAAGCTTTGTGCCTCGGTAACGTAAAGAAGACTGCATTCGGTAATTGGCCTCCCTCTTTCGGCGGCGTTTTCTTCTTCTTTCCGCATTTCCCGAAAGCACGTATCTGCACAGAGCAAAGTACATGGCAAGAAGGGCGTGAGATTGTTAAATGTACTCTTCTTCACTCGCACCATTACTCTCTGGGATTTTTTTCCCTTTTGCGTTCATGCAAGTTAAGAGGTTAACGAGGGCTTTTCAAATCTACTTTAACGAAAAGAAGAAGAAAAAGACAACGTCTCGAAGGTTTCCGAAAACCATTTGAGTAAATTATATCCGGGGTAACGTGTTACTGGTCTAGAAATTAATGAGCTGATATGCGGCAAATCTATTCAGTCCCTTTGGATTATGACAATTGGCTTGTCCACGTCTCGGAAGGGAATTTATGACGGGCTTACTGGCTTTAGAGGCTCGGCGCCGCCTATTGTCTCGCTCACACCTGCACGAGCTATAACCACAGACTCCCCGCCGACCTGCCTAATTAGCCCAATTGACTTTTGACTCGATCTTCTACTCCTGTGAGGGTTACTAACCTACTATCGTTTCGCAGTAGTATTCAGAAAATTCAAGTATCGTCATGGAAGGTCAAAACGCGATGGAAGTTGTTGGAAATGACGAGGTTGGAGAGAAGAAAGAAAAGAATAAGCGCAAAAGGATTGTGGATAAATTTCAAACCAAAGCTGCAAGGAAACATCAGAAACGGTTGCGAAAATTAGTAAGGAAGGAATACGCAACGAAGGGGAAGTCAGTCATTAATAGTGTTTTAGCTAGGAGATTGCAAAACGAAAAAATTAAGTTGGTAGCCGAAAATATGATTGAAGAATTGACTGCTTTAAAAATAGGTGAGTTTGGTAAATGCATTGAACTCAACGAATAATTACTCCGTCTACATTGTTTCATAGAGATTTTAAATGCCGTCTTAATATATTTCAGACAACAAGATAAAGCAGCAATGAATTAAACATAGAAATAATGAATTTTTAGCATGTAATAGCCATTGGGTGAAATAATATATATTTTTGTAGCCACAAAAAAATTTATTTACGAATAAATTTTTTTTTCTACAAGTACTGATTACTGCATTGTTTATAGCTCCATTGCACTCATTAATATTTGCGTTTTTCACTGCCCTTATTTAAAAAAATTCATTTTACACATATTATTAAGGATTCACAGGGTAAGAATTGATTAACTAAAGTGCTTTTCAATGCTTGTCAATCACACGCTATTAACTGAAAAATGTGATCAGAAGTTGGATTTTATTTGAACGCATGAAGAAATGACTAAATTAATGTAACCTAATATTGAATTTATACAGTTAGCAAACACAGGTACAACAGGTAGTAAGATCCATCCAGACGCAAACCCTTCATCTTTGCAATTCCAAACTTCGGTCCCGGTGATATTGCGTTACGATGAAGTTTCCATCGAGTTTCCATACGTCGATTAGACTATATAGCGTAGCAGCCATCCGATCGAATAACCTGTTCTAATTATAAACAACAAATCGAATTACACTAGAACAATTCAAGTGGTAGATTTGAACAATTGTCGAGCGCTGCTGTGTGCTATAGTGTAATAATAGCTCCGCCGAATGATTTAAATAACGGTATATGCAATATTTGAAGAGGCAGCGATAGACACGCTGACAAGTCGGCAGCTATCCGAGAAAACAAACATTTTCATAACGGACGAGTTGCCACAGTTGAGAAAGCATTACTACGCTCTTTCGTCATAATATATATTCGCTCACTCTTCGTGCAGTGATGGCTTGGCCGGGGGGACAAGCTGAATGTACCACGGGCCAAACTAAACGGTCGAGAGAGAAAGAGCGATCAGCTTGACCGTCAGGCTGTGGTATCAGTCGTCGTCGCCGTCGCCGTCGTCGCCGTCGTCGTCGCCCGCCAGGTGCCAAAAGTCTCTCACATATCTCTCGCGGCCGGTGTGCTCATTTGTAAGCGTCGCTCTTTTACGTGAACATCGTATATGCAGTATGTGCATTGCTCATGCGTCACATGTCGCCCGGGCTGTGAATGGACGTCTCGAATTACGTTAATTTTAAGCTCTAACCGAATCATTTCCTTATTTTGCCTTGCTCTGATGTTCTAAAAATCGTCAATATGAACATTTATTCTTATTGAGCATTGAACAATTTTAATTCGTCGTTCCTTATTAATCGACAGAGGAATGCACGCATTTGAGAGTGTTTTCTCCAAAAATATCAATCTACCGTATTCTGTCAGACTAACTTAACAGGACTAAATTAAAAGATTTATAATAATTTGAATAACTGATGCAGAAAACAAACAAAAAACAATCTACTTTCCAACGATTGTGAGTGTAATTTCAGGCTTTCCAAAGATATATGTATGTATTTTGATTAGAAAAGAAAGAGAAAAAAGAAAAAAAACAGGTGAATTAGAAATAATCTGGATATTTTGAAAAATCGTAAGATCATAAATTGTTGGTCATTAATCCCGCGGCGTAGAGACGCGGCCAACTATCGCGGCTACACCGCGACCGTAATACGTGCATAATATATGAGTCTCCCGTGAAGCATGAGCGAGCCCATTGCGCAACGCTGATTAGCGAGCATGCACGTACATACGTGTGTGCGTGTGCAGTGCAGTAGAGATGAGTCATTCATTAATTATATCTAGATTTTTTCGTTATTTTGCCGTGCGCGCGAAAACGAATCCCGATTCATTGAGCTATATTCGTCGTTCTTGCCGCCTCGCATCCATCTACGGCGACAGTGTTCCATTAGACACAAGTTATATATCAACACGCCCGTGTTCGTTAATATTTATGACGTCGTTGAGTGGGTATTAAAGACACTTTTCCATGCATCGCTACGCTAAGCGAGCCCCGGGAATCCCATTTGCTTTTTCATTTTCTATTGTTAAACTCGTTTATGTCGACAGCTTCTCAAATATTATCTGGGTTTGATGTATTCCGTTCGTTCGTAAAAACAAAACAAAAATTAGAAAAAGAACTATGGTTATTTGTCAACCACCTATTCAATCGCGATGTTTACCTTTGCTGTGCAAACCGGTTCGGTGAATTTCGCTGTGATTTGACTAAGAGGAAATTCCGCACGTGGCTCCAAAAATCGATTTTGGAAAATGCAAATTTCAAACTGGTATGCTTATTGGATTGTCTCAATTGAGTCGCCAAGTCATTAAAAAGTAAAGTTTAATTTGGAAATTTCAACTGAAAACTGATGTCATTGTATAGTTCAGCTTTAACATGTAATACTGAAATCCTGTATTTATATAAGCTTCATTTACGAAAGGAATACTTTTTCCAATATTTAACTCGGCTTCAGACAGGATTTACGAACGAGAAAACTCAATTGATAAATTAATGACGAACTTTTGTCAATAAATCAATCTCGTGGTGAATATACTTGAAATAGACTTGCATTGATTAGATAATGATTTGGTCGACGTGCACGGGGGATAATTATATCGTTTGGGACGCTTGTAATGCTTTCGGTAAAATAGACGTGTCCTAAAAACAGTACTAGACTATATGAGATGAAGAAGAAAATAAACTATATGGTTTTGGTAACGATATCAAATGGTTGATATTGGTTTTGCACACAGACTGGTCGCATGATTATAGGCCGAACCGATCACAGTAAACCAGGCTCCCGTACAGAGCAGTTGCGAATCGATCGAAATCCAGAAAGATAGATAGCAGGTCGGTACGCGGGGGCGGCGGCCCTATGCGGCAGATCCGCACATACCAGCACACACACACTCACAGCACAGACTTGGCCGGCTGCAGTGCATCGGCGTGACTGCGAGAAAAGTGCAGCCGACGGTGGTGGCGGCGGTGGAGGCGGTCCTCCTTCCTCTCTCACTCGGCGGCACATAGAATATAGAAGAGAGAGAGAGAGAGAGAGAGAGAGAGAGAGAGAACCAGGGACCGCGAGTCGGCGCTTGCGCAGTTTGCTTGACCGGCGCGCCGCCGCGGCCGTCGCCACTAGCTCGGGCATGGAGCGCAGTGTCGCGTCGAAGCTCTCGCCGAACGCGTCGTCGTGCAGCTCCGTGTCGTACTCGAGAATAGAGCAGGAAAAAACAACAAATCATTTTAACAAAGCTCCCTTGCAAAAAAATTTCAAATCGAAAAGAATTGCCTCAGTTATACGTACACCAACACGAAAATCGAAAAAATCTCGCGCCAGGCAGCCCACAACTAAGCGAGCTCGAGTGCAGTAGTTGGTAGAAAAAAAGTGCGCGGTTTCTTATCAGCTGACAAGTGTGACAACAGCCCCGGAGAGTCCCTCCTTTGTTTTCGTCTGTGCGAGAAAAAAAGATCAATCAAAATAATCAGTGAGATTTAGTGCGCAGGTGTTGCTGATCTACGATAATAATAATAAAAATAATACTCGTGCCGGCTTTATTTGAGCGGGGGAGAGGTAAAGACTCCACCGACTACGTCGAGTGCAAAAGAGTGCCGGTAAAGCGCGCGCGGGTGGACAGATAGAGAGGGGAAAGCAAAGAGAGCGACTAAAGGAGACGAGCTGAGCAAGATTTTAGCCGACGACGACGTGCTGCTGCTGCTGCTGAGCGAAGAGATGGAGGCGCAGAGCCAAGAGATCGTGGCGAGTGGCTCGCCGGCTGAGGTGCCCAACGATCCAGGGTACGAGCACAACGAGGAACCGACAGCTACTTTTTCGCTCACTACTGCGGCGATTAACCAGCTGACACAACTTGAATGTGCAGAATGAACGCAGCGAGAAAGAGAGATTGTGTATGTGCTTGTGTGTGTGTGTGTGTGTGTGCAGCCGTCGCGAGAGAAACTCACGTGGTCGATAAGCGGGCGGGTTGCGCGCGCGTCACATCACTGCAGCCGTCGGAGGTGGGGATTCGCATGTATTCGTTGCCTTGCTCACTCTCTCCCTCTCTCTCTCTCTCTCTCTCTCCCTCTCTCTCGCCGACACCGCTAAATTACGATGCGCCTCGCGAACGCACGTGGTTATGTCTCGTGACACAACTCACAATATGTCTTATTTCCTTCCTATCATCTTTCCCAAAACTGTTCTTCTGCGTTTGTTTGTTTTTTTTCTCGTTCGACCCACGCAATGTCGTGGGCGATCGGTTGTACATACATACAGAGCGATGACGATAATCAACGTTCGTGAAATTCCGATGCAGAACGTGAAATTCGACTATTATAGTGGATAGATCGATAAGACGCCGGATTTCCATAACGAAAAGCAACGGCGGTAGTCGCGGAAGAGGCGCGCCTAGTTTGCAGTGTGTATGTAGGCACGAGAGAGCAGCCGCGCTTTGCGAAAATCGATGTGCAGAGGGCGCCGACCACGTGACGACTCTCTCTCTCTCTCTCTCTCTCTCTCTCAGCCGGCCCAGTTTGTTTTTGATGCTCTCTCACTCGTCGGCGCTCGATAAAACTTTATTGCGAATTATATTCGAGTGTCGTTCATTTGGAAAAAAGTTCTTCGTTTTCGTTTTTAATGGGTCATTTGGAATAGGATAAAAGTTGGGCAATAATGCGTTTAAAAACTCGTTAAATAGTCAAGGCGACTGGGCTATAACTGAGCGAGTTGGCTGAGATTTAAGACGGGTATTAAATGAACGTGCCACTGTTACGCTGTTATTCTTCGCAGAATTGAAGTCGGATGCGCGCGCGAGTGAAAAAGGGATGGGCTTCGTGATTATTATCCGTGTGGGTATACAGTAGTGGTGGAGAGGCTGGTTGATCGGCGCAGGCAGTGACACACAGCTGCACCTGCACGGGGGCCACTGTTTATAAGGCCGCTGACCCCTGCAAACCACATTCGTCGACTCTCAAGCTCATCTCTCCTCGTTACATGCTCACCGTCGACGTCTTCTTTCTTTTCCAGGAAAATGTTCATCGGGGGATTGTCTTGGCAGACTAGTCCAGGTCAGTTGCATGTAAACTTTTTTCCTCTGTATATTACATATTTTCCAGGATCTTGCGAGCTTCATTACGAGAACTGTCGAACTGTAATATAACAAATGGTCATATCAATGATGGTGTTAAGAAGTTACCCATGTTATTCAACTTGCTCTCTGTGATTTATTAACACTACGCGTTACAAAAGCTATCGTGAAAGGAAGATCTTTCAGTTCCTAGCCACTTACTTTCTATCAATTGCTTTCAATGCTATCTTGTATATCTACGAAATAATCGTAGAAATACTCAATAAACGTAAAATGATACTTCCATCGCAATTACGTTAATCGGTACAGACGTATCTATCAAATTTTGCAGTTATACAGATGTATAGGCATTCGAAAGGTATTGCACTCTCTGCCCGTTTATTTTCACATTATTCATAATTACATTTGGAAAAAAAGGATTGTACCTTTTGCACATTCTCATTATTTGCGTCGACACAGTAATCGACTAAGTAGTACGAGCGGGGGTTATTTGAGCTTCTAGTGTGGCTGCGAGTTCACGCATTGCATTAAGGATAGTGAGAAGGAGACTAGAAGCAGACTGATAGCTAAAATTAGGTCATCGCTCAGTGACTGACCTGCAGTATGAAAGCTTAATCGAATTAGTCGGATTAGGGCAAAAAATTATATGACTACAATTTATATCAAATTAAATTAGATCCCGTAGTTTCCAAATAAACAATTTATAAAAGTATAAGTTTCGGTATAGAAAGCTGTTTTCTTCTTGTGTATTATAATAAAAATGTAGTTCTGAAGATGATTCAGATCGCAATTCAGGTCGATATCTACATTCAACCATGATGTTTCGCTATAAAATGCATATGAACTTTTTTTTTAACTTTGCTAAATAACACCTGTATAGCAATAGTAACCGGCGTAATAAAACTTTGTTCTATATCAATTATTGGTGGCCCTGAAAAGGACCGATTTTTGACTACAACTTTTGAATCTCAATTCAAAATTTTTTGTGAACGACGAAATGCGTCATGTCGAAGTCCTCGCACATGACTTCGACTTCCAGATTTTTGGAAAGGACCTTCACATCCACCTGTAGCATCCTTAGATGACGAGCCTCGAGAAGCCTTATATCTTCGTTCTTCCTCTAAATTTCTTTTTCCTGCTACTTTTTGGGTCAAACAACGTAGAGGAATACATCTTCTTTCCCTTCTAGAACATCCTGTGGGGATGGCCACTGAGGTCATCGTGTCCAAAAAATGATTTATAGCGCAAATAATTTGATTTATTTATATTAGTCAGATATTACCGGTTGATAACTCTGGATCGATAGACTTGTGATCTCTGGAAAGGGAAGGCAAAATGAAAATTAATTAATTGAATGTACAGTTAGGCAGTCAGCTAAATGGATCAAGCGACAATTACTGTAGAACTGGTGTTTCTCATCTGCTTAGATACTTAGAAAGACGATTAGAGATATAGATTTTTTGGTGAAGTGTTGATGGGATCATGTGTGATCGCTAAGGTTTAATAGTTGACCTAACTTTAATCTCATAAACATCTTAATGAAGAAAGTGAAATTTAAAATAAAGATATTTACATTGTTTAATGTGACTTTGCGGCACGTTGTTTAAAATTACAATATAACAACAAACAATTACTTGAAGCACGATATAATTATCGTGCAAATAAGTGAAATATGAAATTATTTCCAAGAGATGTTGTATTATAGTGACCTCAAAGTTATTTAAATGCTGTAACGTTAATTTGGGAAAATATATTTATCTCATTCTTTAAAATCAGACTTTGTTTTAAAGAAATCGTCATCAATATTGAGCAATCTCTCACTTTTAGTAAACTAATTCAATTGTCATCTCAAACTAAATAACTAAATCAATTTTACAATCACTAAAACTATATCTATATAATCGCCACTACTATTTATTTCACCAAATAATTGATATCTAAGTAAATTTTTTCAAACTATTTAATGGAACCTGGAAAAGGTACTAATACTATTTTCTTCCGCTTGTCCCTTTAGCATCTGACCACCTATCTAATTATCTTTTATGGTATTAAAGTACTTCACCTCAAAGGATCACTGACCTATCATCTAACAATAATCTGATCCTTTCTACAGTTTAATTATTAGTTTCTAGATTTTAAATCAACATACATTGAAGAGTTATTCTTAAACTTAATTTGAGTTGTAGAATCAATTATTTAACAATGTTATCTTTTTTCAATTTATATAAATTTTGAAAACATAACTATTCCTGTAAGTGTTAAAAATGCATCGAAAAGTAAAAAAGCCAAACAAGTTACAATCCGAAAACTTCACTGCAAAATTGTAACAAATTTACATGATCGTGACGCAGAAAACAAGCGTAACGAAAAAAAAACCAAGAAAAATAAAGTGTCGTCGCGTCAGACATACACGCGACTCAGTCGAGCAGTGACTTCCGGCTTTGCTCTCTGTACACACGTACATACGTACACATGTACACATATATACTCATTCTTATTTTTTCTTGCCTCGTTTTTGTCGCGTAGCGCCTGTATCACGCTGAAGGTAGTCCTAGAGCTCGTGCAGCACGAAAGTGTACTGATGCTGCTGCTGCTGCGGCTCTCCATTCCGAGATGGGAGCATGCATAATTCATGCCAGCTGTGTGTATGTGTGCGAAAACGAGCTTCACCGAAGTGAGACCTTTTTTCACGGAAAAAAAAGATAGCAGAAAAAGAAAAAGAAAGAAAATCGACAACTTAAGGAGAAGAGAAAAAGGAAAAATTGTGAATGGTGAAAACAATTCTAATTGTGTGTACGAGAACGTCATTCGGTGGTTTGGAATTTTGACAAAATCGATATAACTTTATGAGATCAGAGTAATACACATGTGATTGAATTGCTCGCGTAATCTGGTCACTTGCTTGTTCACGTAAGTATGGGAGAAAGAGTTTCTTCTGCTTTATACTACACCTCCATTTCAAAGATCAGTGACATCTTATATTTGCTTTAATACTTAAAGCTTCCTTTCCACACGTTTCATGATTGTATATAAATATATAACTAACAAGTTTCGTTTAGTTTCATTAACAAGTTTCCCTATATCTTTACACACTTTTCCAACAAGAGTAGCATAACAGTTGTTGTCAGCGAAGGAAATAATCTTTCTCGATGAATTATTCGCATTTCTTTACACATAGCGTCAATAATAACCAAAATTTTCAATCATGACGAATTTCTATACATGTATGCGCGGAAAATTATATATATGCGAAACAGCCATAAAATTATCTTTATTTAAACGAGGCTACGGCCTGAAAAAAAAGAAGTCTTCTAATTAAAGTCCCTTTGTATACGAAAGAAGAAAGGAGGCTATAGAGTGTATACATAAGTGTAAGGAGGCCAGCAGCGAGTCTCTTGCAAGATGCATATCACGTGATCGATTGACATATCGGAAGACGATGACGACGAAGAAGCACCCTTTGCGCACGAATCTGGGCCTACGGAGTACACATACGTACGTACACCTATATACATGTACGTGCAGTGAGAGAGAGAGAGAGTGAGAGAGAGAGAGAGAGGCCAGAAATAGTCCAGTATGCGGGGTATAGGAAGCGCGCTTGCCGAGTGGAAACGCGACCTCGTTTAATCTTTAACAATGGTAACGCTCCCTACGTATTTCGATCAGTAGTCGCGCACACATACACACAGCCATTCACGAAGATCGATTTCCTTATAGACTCCCTCTCACGTAGCACGTATACATCAGCGCATGTCGTACATACGGGTAATTACAGGAGTGCCAAAAAATCAAAGATTTATGTAAAAAGCGTCCAGCTATGGATAACCTGCAACTTGTATATTGATTTTGCAAGCTTTCAATTTCATTTGGCTTTTATCTGCCGCGCGCGCGCCTCCACTCTAGCATTCATTAAACGCTTCAATTAAATATACCGCTAGCGCTGGATGCATCGATTTTTTTTCCTTTCCACACACCACTAAACTTCATTTCAACTTCATACCACGATAGAAAGGGGAAACAAGGGAAAGCAATTCTCGTTCGTCGAATCGCAACGATAAAATAGAAAAGAGTAGCCGCAGTATTGGTTTTTTGGAATCAGATCTACCGAAAGCGGTAGCGCGTTATGCACAAAGTGCCACGATCAATTTGTTCTCACCGTCTAAGCGGAAAAAAAACAAGTTTTTCGCTACGGAAATATAATTGAAGTAACAGTAGTAGGAGAATAGAGTAGTAACACTATTACTAGTAGTAGTAGAAGAAGCTGCTTTTGCGTTATAGCGAGGACACAAGCTACTATTACTGCTGCTCGTGTCTCGATGACGCGTATAAATCTACTAAGGATTTCATCGCGGCGGTGCATTTCAGTTGTTCGCACCTTTCGCAATTCAAGCACATACGTATATCGATTTATCGCATGTGCATGTTATACTTGAACGACAGAAGATTAATATAAAATCACACATACGAATTATAAGCCGTGCTAGTGCGCGCGCGCGAGAGAGAGAGAGAGAGAGAGAGAGAGAGAGAGAGAGAGAGAGCACCAATTATTGCGGCGACGACGTAGAAATGGAACTAAGCGGAGACAATGCGAGACGAGCAACAATGAAGCGACGACGTACGAGAGTGACTTATGTAACGATGGCAAATAAACCCTAATGAGTCGACGCTTATATACCGTCGTACATACTCTTCATCTGTTATTTTTTCCAAGGGACTCAAGCCCTCGTGCATGTGTCGTTTGACGATGCTGCGGTAGTGTGCAAAGAAAAACAAACAACAATAGTGTACATATAGATGCTAATTTCCTAATTGATCGGGAGGTGTTCACCGAGAACGACTGTTTGTTGCAATGAATTTGTACAATAACTAGATTTCAATTTTTTCGTTGTCGACAATAAAAAAAATGAGAATCTCGTTAATGTAATTTTTCTTTTTTTTTTCCTCGAATGCCACGTATTCGAGTTTACACAATAAAATCTA